CCCCTTCGCTCCCAGATACGGTGATGTGCTCTCCTGCAAGAGGACAGGGCTCAGACGCTGGGGCCCCTCCAACGGCCCTGCAGCTCCCCGTGCCCTTGCTGTGGCTTCCCGCTCACTCATGCCGTCTGTTGCTCCAGAGAGCTGGATGAATCCAAGCTCTAGGTTCTCCACCTGCTCCTTCCTGTCCACCTTCTCCTTTCGGAGGTCCATAAAGCCACTCTGGAGCCAAAATAATCTGGTCATATCTCAGGAGTGACCTCTCCTGCCCTGCCCCCACTTTTCTTGGCCCATGCGAGGACTCACTCACCTTCACCTTCTCCATGGCCTCCCTCAGGGCCCGGTAGCTCTCCCCACACACAAACTCAAACACAGTCCCTGGGGCTGGGGCCTCTCCTCTGGCTCCTTCCAGGCCGAGGCCACCAGGTGAGCCAGGTGCAGGCAGCACAGCCTTCACACCTTCCGCTGCCCACATAGCCGTGCCTGCTCCTCCTGGGCACTGGCTCCAGTGGAGTTGAAAATGCCACATGAGGGCAAGAGCTGAGTATTCTTGTAGGGCATACACAGAACAAATGGGGCAGGGAGGTGGAGCACAGCCCCTTCCCTTGGGGCCTCAGAGGGTGCACCTGTTGGTCACAGGTGAAGTGGTGTCTGACCACTGGCTCCCGGAAGGGGTGAATGTCCAGAGAAATCAGAAGGCGGGGAAACCAAGAGCATAAGGGGATCTGGGAGGGGCCACAGAGGAAGGTGGCAAAGTAGGGCAGGGAAAGTCAGATTCACCATGGCTTCCTGGCTCTCCAGGTCCTCTGGGATGCTCGGCATAGGCTGAGGCACCCCCTCCTCCTCACTGTCTAGATGTCCTCCTCCATCTCCTGTGGGGAGGTGGCCAGAGGGGTCCTCCGACAACCCAACAAGAGAGGCACTGTGGGCCCACCTCTGTCCCCACCCTCACTGTGTAACCCTGAGCCAGCCCCTCCCCAGAGGGGAATGAGCTGCTGTTCTTTATTTTTCCTTTTAAGAACTGAGATCTTGCTATATTGCCCAGGCACAGTCACACTACCGGTCGGTGC